TGCCCCCTTTCTTTGTCCCTTTTTCTTTTCTTCCTTCTCTCTTTCTCTCTTTTCTCTCTCTCTCTTTCCCTCTCCCAGGCTCACCCTATTGATTTGATGCACCGCTCTGCTCAGACTTGCTTGGGCAGGTCTCTCCAGTGCAGTGGGTTCAATGGGGTGGACCTGCAGGGCCGACACCTAGAATGCGGCAGTGTCGGCATGTTTGAAAAGTAGAGTAAAGCTAGAGGTTGGTAATTTTTGCTGCAAAGAATCACAAAAGCTTCTGGGTTGTGCACAAGAAAGGACACACATGTCAGTGCAATTCAGCAACATAAAATAAAGAAATACAAATAAAACAAATCAACAAGAATTGGCAAAGCATCTCTGATTAGATTCTATTCACTACTAGAATCTAATCAGAGATGCTTTGCCGATTAATGACCTGCTCCAGCAGGGTTGGAAAGGAGTATGTGTATATATGTGTGCATGGCTGTCAAAACCCCAAAAACAGGTCAAGTAGTTCTGCAGAGACCAATCCTAAACTAGAACTCCTGCTAAGCAACCGGCCATTAAGTGAGGACCACTTGTATTTGGTTTGCCAGTCACCAAATCGCACTCACCCAGTCACGTGACCAGCAAACCACACCCACCCAATCACGTGACTAGCAAACCGCACCCTCAAATTAGGCCAATGCCCATAGAAATTTGAATCCCACCCGTGGGTTGGGGGCATTGAGGATGAGTTTGTAGCACCAAGGGGGCGGTGGACTGAAAAAGTTTGGGAACCACTGAACTAGACACAAGAACAGTTTTTCCCGAACACCATCACTTTGCTAAACAAATAATTCTCTCAACACTGTTTACAAAGTCTGCACTCCTATTACTATTAATCTTCTCGTCACTCCTTATCACCCACCCCCTCCCACTTGTGACTGTATGGCTGTAACTTTGCTGCTTGTATCCTTACTATTTATATGGACTGTTTCCTAGTATGATTTGATTGCTTATTGTACCCTATGACTATTATTGTTGTACCTTGTGATTCTTGACTCTTGATGAATGTATCTTTTCTTTTATGTACAATGAGAGCATTTGCATCGAGACAAATTCCTTGTGTGTCCAATCACACTTGGCCAATAAAGAATTCTATTCTATTCAGTCCCCCAAACAACAGTCCATATATTACCAGGAAAGTCCACAAAGCGAAGTCCAGGCATAAGACAAATGGCAGTCCTCAAAGCGAGGCCAAAAAGGCACAAGTCAAAGCCAAGGAAGTATAATCCAAAACAAACATTTGTTCCTGAAAAAGACTAACTGCCCACCGCTTCTCCTTAAATTACTCCATTCCAGGTGTTCCTTACGAGGAGGGGTGAGTCAGCCTCCACCAGAATAGCTTTGTAGCCCTTCTCTGGGCTTGCCTATGCTCAACTCTCAGTGCCCTTGGATCGAGTGGAGGAGGCAGCTGTTCCTCATCAGAGGTCTATCAGCACCGCTGCCTGTCAGCAACTGATCCTCTCCTGTGTCTGTGCAGGCAGCTGTCTGTCTGGTCGAACTCTCCATGTGGTCAACCGCCTCCCCTATGCCTGAGGGCCCCGAGGACAGCATTGTCCTCAGCCCCTGGCTTCTCTAAACATGCCAAGGGAGACATGCCATTTCTGTTGGACTGTCTCCGTTCCAACTTTTCCTCCTCTGAACTGGGCTCCAATGGGATATGACACTATGTGGTTTAAATACAAATTTATGTCTAACAAAGCAAAACAGATTTTGAATATACCATTGTTTAACACAGAATTGAAACATTCTGGTCTTTTTACAGTCAACAAAATCTGGAGTTTAGCAGTGTGGCTGGATTTCCTGTTTGAAGTATTCTTTACATAATAAATAAAATGAACCAGAGGGAGAGCTCCAGCTCTTTCTCATAATTTAGTGTTTAACGGCTGTGGTTATGTCACCTTGTACTAATAGGACTTTTACAAACTCTTCAATGCCTCTAAATCAGGCTGGAGTATTTTCCTGTCTGTTTCACAAGTCATTATCTACTTTTGTTTGTATTTATATAATTCAACAGATAGTCGTTCCTATTTGTTTTAGTTGCAGAGACAAATAGGAATATGGATGGTCTTATTTCTTCTTCTGAAAATAGATCAGATCCAATTTCAGGTACTGTATTTTTCCATTTAAATACAGAGTGGGAAAGCTCACTGTTTTCAAAATTGTTTTCATTTTTCTACATGCACCTTTTTATTTGTGTTACTTATGGAGTACTTTTCTAGCCTCCATATAACCTTGAAACATTTTCCTTGTCAGCCCTGTCTCGATACTTTCAAGAACTGTCCTTGAATAACTGTACATTTATCAATTTATATAGGCAGAGAATCTTCACTCCAGAAATGGTGGAAAATATTTGTGGCTCACCAAAACATTCACTTCCATTGTGCTGAAACATATAGTAAATTCATTCTATAGTAACAGAGTTAATACGTTGAACTTGGTTTTACTAAGTAAGTTAGTAAGTATACAGAACAGTAGTCTTTGACTTGCAACTACTCGTTTAGTGACCATTCAAAGTTATAATGGCATTGAAAAAAGTGATATCTGTTTTTCATGCTATTGCGGCATTCCCATGGTCAAAATTTGGGCACCTGACAACTGGCATGTATTTATACAGTTGCACTATCCTGGGTCCATGTGATCATCATTTGTAAACTTTTCAGCTGGTTTCCGACAAGTCAATGGCGGAAGCCATATTTACTTAACAACTACACGAGTGATTCACTTAACTGCAATAATTTGCTTAGCAAAAATAAAATAAAACAGGTCATAAAATGCAGTGCAACTCACTTATCAACTGTCTTGCTTTGCAACATAAATTCTGGGCTGAATTGTGGTTGTTAAATCGAGGACACTCTGTAGCTAAAACGAGTCACATTTCTGTTTTCTTCCCTTTGCCATACTTTGAATGGGTGGGAGCTGGGCCAAGCAATGGTTAAAACTCTTTTCTCCTATTTTCCAAGGCTGAACTATTGCAACTGAAACTATTTCTGAGATAAAACCTCATGCAATTGATGAAAATAGTCTTCAGTTTTGAAGACAGCATGAGATGTGTTTTTACACTGCTATCTTCTGGAAACCGTTATTACTTTAAAATATTAATCTATAAAAATAATATCTTTCAGAGCCACAGGATTTTTCTATATGAATTCCAATGAGATAATAAAAGTGGAAACACAATGGTTTAGATGCACAGAACCTGCTGATTGCACTGAAATTAACACACAAGCTTGCAAAAATTGTCCTCTTATGTGTTCTATCTCAGGCAAACATACGTAGGGTGTAAATCTTTAAATAGAAATGCCCTTGTTTTCTAATGAGGATCTATAATACTAAAACATAGCTTAGATGTATTGCTTTGCATTTCTGGTCCCAGACATCTGATAGAAACCACAATTGTGTCAAAAGGTTATGCGAATCATGACATCTTTCTGCAAATAAAGTAAATAAGTAATCCATGTCATTTGCATACCACATCATGATGCACACGTCACTCCATCTTCCCTAGATATTTGTTTCTGGCCTAAATTTCCAAAACTAATTCACACTGCCTTTTTGGGGGGGCGGGGGGGATATTCAAGGGGAAATTAAAATATCACATCAAGCTATCATACTTTTCATAATACAAGTCATTTCTAAGTAACTGAGCTCAAACTGCTAAACCCAAAGTAAAGCTCATTTCATACCCCAATGTACTGTGCAAATTGTGTCACTGTGTTATTTAGTTCACTCATTTTGTGTCACTATAAATCAATGTTTTCTCAATTTCAGCAATGTTAAGATGTGTGGACTTCAATTCCCAGAATTCCCCAGCCAGAATTCTGGGAGCTGAAGTCTACACTTCTTAAAATTGCTGAAACTCAGAAGCGCTGATCTATGTTCACAGATTTAAGTAAACTGGGTCTGAATGTGTTTTTAAAAGTGTTACTGCTACTAGCTCTTTAGTAGAGAGAACAAAAGTCTCACCTTTGGTTTTCCTTCTAATCACAGAGAAGTATATTAGCTGTTAGCACAGGAATAAAGGTTTGTATTAGACAACCAGCTTGATGATGGTTTAACTTTTTGCAACTGAGACCACACCTTATCATCAATATTCAATATAACTAAAACTGCCTCAACTGCCTTTCCCTACATTTGTCTCATTATTGACACAGGTAATGTGCACAGATACTTTTTTCCTTGTCTCTTCAAGTCAGATTGTGATGTTTCTCTGTGTCATATATGTGCATATATGTGGGCATATGCATGATTATCCTTTGAGAGCTGAATGCAACAAAATTTCATTTTAATGTTTGCTGATTAGTGTAGATTTAAAGTGACAGTAAAGTTCTGTTCTGTTCTTGACTCCTAATGGTTGCCTGGATTAATCCCTTAGTTTTCTTGGCAAGATTTCAAAAATGGCCTTTCTTAACTCTGTCCTAGGGCTGACAGAAACAAACTGGCCCAAGGGCACTCAAATTGTCTTCATCTTAAGGAGGTATGTCAAAATTGTGGCCCACAAGCCAGATACGTCACGCGCTGGCCAAGCCCACTCCCATTTTAGCAAAGAGGAAAAAAGTTGCGATATGTCATGTGATGTGATGCCGCAAGTTTGAGATGCCTGCTCTAAGGCAAGACTAGAACTCACAAACCTCCTGGTTTCTAATCTGATCCCTTAACCATCACACCAAACCGGCTTTCACTGCACACTCATACCCCACTCATTGTCAAATACATCTCCCAACAGGCAGCTTGAATGGCTGCATAGGGGTACAGCAAACCAAAGAAAGTGATCACCCAACTAATGCTGTGACTTGACTCTTCTGGGTCAACTTTGCATGCCAAGTGAACTTGCATAACGCCATAGCTGTCTGCAACAGAACAACAAAAACAAAATGGAAAAGAAGCTTGAATGGTTAACTTTGTCATTCTAGCTTCACCTCTATTGATAATTAAGACAACAACAACAAAGTACTAAGTAAATTTGGGCTGTTTATTCATAAAGTATGAGCAAATACAAACATTGTTTACTTTGCCATTCTGAACAGGAATGGATTTTTTTTTCCAGGGGAAGATGAACATTTCTAGTTAAAAAGTCAACTTTTCAATTTTCATTCAAGAATGAAAAAAATCATTGATCTATGAAAAATCAAGTTTTCGTTAAAATCTTGCTGGGGGAGCATTTCCCTTAACACTATCAGGAAAGTCTAGTGCTGCCGTTTTGTTTTTTCTTTTTCACTTTATTCTAAATTTATTTTTAGACATTCAGCAGTAAATATATAACATTTCTGTTATAAATATATAACAATATATTTACCAGTGTTTGAATAAGAGGATTTCATGGCATTTATAGTTTGCATGGGTAAGAAAATTTCACATTCAGTGTGAGTAATGATTACACAGATTAAACTCTGAATGATCTTTGTGTCACAATAGATTTCATAATGCTAGGAAATTATAGTCCTAAATTATGCTTTGAATAGAATTCAAATCATTCCCACTTCTTATATAGATCTTAATTTAATGTATCATTCTCTAAAAAAAATAATAAGGCAATAGGTATACATGTGTATCTCAGATGTGGGTGAGTCATAGAAATACGCATTCTCCCTTGGGATGACATTTCCTTCTCTGAGTTTTTCTTAATCCCATGATAGTAGGCCTCTTTATTTAAGAACCATACCCATCAAATGAACTCCCAGCAGTCAATTCAGGATCGAGCTCTAGAACAGTCTCTAGACTGGTGGGCAGTTCAGGATGGTGTCACGACAGTTCAGCAAAGGAGACCGTATTTCCTCGAGTTAGAGAAGAGACAACACAAATGACCCACATTGCATTTTGGTGCCCTGGCAGAAATAGGCAGCAGAGTAAGTACATGGTTGGCATAGAGTTGTGATGAAGCTTGGTTGCTTTATCAGTGTAAACATGCTCTGTATTCCTATCGTGATGGAAGAAGACAAACACTGAAGAAAACCACAGGAACACAGAGAAACCGTTGAAGGACAATCTTGTAACAGGCTGATCAGCTCTTCTTCCTTTGACTCCCTGGACCCTTTGGCTCCAATTCAGAACCTGGAAGGCTTTCCAAGATGTGCACTTCACATTCTCCTGTCAATATGGCTTCCTTGGAAGAATGGCAGCAGCAGGAGCTGTCAATTCCATTTAAACGAATCAGCTCTTCTGGGAAGAAAGTTTTTAGAGCTGCCAGTAAGGAATTGCTGAACCAGTGTGTAATAGCAAATTGCCAAATCTCTAAAAACCATACCTATTAAAAGCTAATGTAATAAGACAATGAACCATAATGAAACACGTATAGCAATAATTTCTCACACCCAAAAGATCACAGAAGTTAATTATGAAAAAGAAAGGTGTTAATAGACTGTCCTATCCAAATATGAAAACTTACTCACTCTTCCAATCCTCTCTAATGAAGGAAACAAACTGTTAAGTGAAGATCAGAATTAGTGAAAAGTTTCAAATCTCACTTCTAAACATCTGAATGGCTGCGGTGCTCCCTTCAGCCACTTACTCGGACTCTGTACAGCCCTTTGGAATAACTATTAGTTATAACTAGCTTTAGTAACTAGTTTTCACAGCTGCTTGGTTAGATTTTGCAGATGCCACCTAAAGTCACCCAAATAGGTGGCTGAAATTATCAAGGGTAAGAACTGGGAAGGCTTTTAATCCATTTGGCTTTCGTTCTAGTGCTTTTTTAATAGTAGACTTTTGCGAACATCTCCTTCATGCCTGACCATAAGAATATTAAGACCCAGGTCCCAGAAGCTTGCATTTAATGTAATTTAAAATTCGATTTCATTATTTCACACACACACACACACCCAACGTTGCTCCCTGGTGTTGCATATACTGGACTGAGATTCCAAAGCAGCTTTCTGGGCAGCACTGAAGAATGATCTGGTCAGCGTGGGAATGCTCCGAGGTGGTTTTTCTTCTCATGCAGCAAAAGGCTGAAGTACACCTCAACACACGTGGGCCTATTGCCACATCAAAGGCAAGACGGTCTGGTTGTCCCGCCGAGGGGCCAGAGCTTTGTTTTTTTTTTTCCGGGAAAACGTTTGCAAAGTGCATGGGATTCCCATTGGGCTAGTATTGCAGTCAGCACATGGAAAATCAAGCATTTAGACAATCCCTCCACAGGGGAAAGGACTGATCACCAAGAACACCAGCAGCCTGTACCTAAAGCATAAAGGCATTGGAGACAGAAGAATGTTCCTGTCAATAGCCTTCCCTGTGAATTAGGGAGCATTAACGCGGGCTAGAAAAAAATGTCATGCTTAAGCAGACGCTGCGTGGTAATAGCTCTGATTACTTTTAACCCGCTGCTTTCCTTGATTTTCTTCTTTTCAGCAGCCTGTGCAACTGATTTAAAAATGGTGGTTCTTACTTTTGAAAGCCTATCATTTTTCACATTTGGGTCCCTGGGAAGAAAGAATTGCAATGGAGTACATAAAAATATCCCTGCCCTGAAACATGCCATGATTTGTGGTATCTGAAGAAGAAGAAAAATATGTAAGAGAATGAAAACCCACTATTTAAAGTCACTGAAAAAAATCCACCTGGATCCCCTCATGGCAAAAAATAAAAAATAAAATAAAAATCAAGCAAAACAACAGGATAATGAATACTTAATTTGCAGTCACCTCTGTGAAATGAAGTCTTGCAAAAAATGGAACTCTGTCTGAAACAATGCTTCACTCTGGCCTTGATCCAACAATTTCTTACAGACCTCAAGTGTTAATTAGTTAATAACAAGTATCCCAATGATTACAGATCTGCACAAGCAGCAGCTTCTGCTGGTGAACTATACACAGTGTGCTCCTCACAGGAACCCGACATACCTTCCTACAAGGGCCTAGCTTGGGTTAGGAGCCTGTAGCAATTTGACTGCCCAATCACTCTCTCTTTCATTAGCCAACAGAAAGATCCATAGAGGACATCCTACCTAAATCACTAAATCATATCTGTCCCATGCACTCAGCCAGGGTTTTTCATAGCTTAGGCACTAATGCTTGTTTTATGACTTCTGATTCTATAAGGTAGAATGAGATGCTGGTATCAGCCCTGGATCATTTTCTCACTTTAAAACAGCATCCTGAGTCATTTTAGAGTCACTTATTAGTCTGGGTTTCTTGCTTGGATGTAGGGTCTAGACTGTGCCCCCCTCTCAGACAATTCTTTCAATAGATAATTATGAAGGTACTACCAGCAGCTACCCATTCTGTGTTCAATGCTAGTCAACCTGAGTTGGAAACCAATGGCTTAAAGCACAGACAACCCAGAAACAGCAAACAGATCAGAACTCATGTAGGAACTGGCTTACATTCTTATCACATGCTATATATATTGCGGCCATCTTCATTGCTTAGCACCAAGAGTTTATACATTAGATGATGAGAAAGTATCATTAACAAGAGACTCATCTAGCCCAAAATGACATGACTAGATGCATTGGTCTAACAAAGCATAAAAGATAATCTTTCAAGGCTGGACTGGATTGTTTCAAAATGCTACAGACCCCAGTTTATTTTAATTGGAGCAGAATAATTATCTTTCTTGCTCCAATACTAGTGAACAATGGCAGCTACTGATGTACACTGTATTTCTTTCTTGGCTGGAAGACACTAAAGGACTTTGCCTTAGGCTTTCTGGGTTAGGCTACACTATGGAGACATTCTTTAGAGACATACTGAAATCAATATTCTTTTCTTTGTTCAAGTGAATAAAAAATTATAAAAAATAAAATCAGCACTAGCACAAAGCTTGGTAATTTCAACAAGGGCAGAGGGCCATCAGTCCAATGGTGTCTTAAGAATCTCCTGGAATCAAAGCAAGAAGAGAAAAGTTTCTATCAGGATCTTCCATGGCTCTTGTTCCACTCTCTTCATATTGTCCAGGAGAATCAACCATCTTTTGTGTATCCAAAGCCCATGTCTCATGTATCCAAACTTAAAAAGTCTTACCACTTTGCTTCAGAAATGTTTCAAAACATTTCTCTTGCGTGAAGTTATCTCATTTGTTTTATAAATCTGACAGGATTTTTCCCATTAAAGGTTACTTGCATATATGTCGCCATGTCACAAAAAATGCTGATGATCCTGAAGCTTAAAAGCCAAACTCTTGAATATGGTGTTCCACAAGTCTGTCTGGATGAATGATGTTCCTAATACTATTAACCTGTAGGCATATGAAGAATAAGTCTCAGCGCTTTGCTAGGATTTGTCTTCCGATGTCCACAGAACTTCTGAAGTTGTACTGGGTAGTCATTTCATTCCACACAAACTTAGCACATTAGGGCTGGTTCCAGGATTATCTTGGTATCAGACACCAAAGGGACAACTCAAACTGTGATATCCATAACAGGAACTGCTATCTCTAGCTGAATACTTGTCAAATATCCTAGACCACCCATTATCCATAAGCAGAAGATCCACTTAAGGAGATGTGCTACTTGAAAGTAAGACCACCAATAAGAGAGAAAATAAAAGGCCCACTTATAATATTTACATCTATAGATTGGGCCAATATTTGGTCCATAAACTCAATTTTAAAAATAAAAATCATATAGGAAGTAATCCAGTTCTTAGGCAGATCGTCATCAGCTATTAGTAAAGGTCCTTCCAGGGGAGGCCTCAGGCCTGTAGTCATATTTATTCAGTGTACTGGGATAATAGGTTGTTGTGTACACATTTGTTTGTTGCAAAGGATAGAAGTTGGTCCTGTCATCTGGTATTAAATTGTTCTTGTTTAGTGTCTGTAAAAGAAGAACAAAATAATTTTAGATGTAGATGAAGATCCTACTTTTCTTTGTGTTATATAATGTTTGTCTCTCGTTCTCTAGTACCACTTCCAGTTATAAACTTCCCTCTGGCTAAGCTCTCCTTCTCTGTACAAACTTTTTGTTGGTTGGGATACAAGGCCTCTGGCTCTGGAGAAATTGAGCTCTACCACTGTTATAAAACCAAGACCCACCAATGTTTTTGTATTTGGAAGCTGGATTGGGCAGTTGCATTCCAATTCCTAAATCTGGCTCTCAATCTGTTTCTCAACTGCTGTCTCCTTAAAACATATTACTATTATCTTTCCTTCAAAAGATAAGCAATTAAGATAGATAAGCAGATGAGCAATTAATTTTTCATCCCAAATAGTACTGGATAGTAAGAAGAGTATAACAAAGTATATAAAGGACAAAATTTAAATCCAAGATTATTTTTTTAACATTACTAAATATAAAGCAAGTAGAAATTAGAAAGTTTAAACAGTGTTGAATTACACTTATGGAGAAATGTTACGGGCGGAATAATGAAAATTAGGATTAGTTGGAAATAGGCCAAACTTTACCTAAGCTATGGACCAGATTACTCTTCCAAATTTAGGGAGATTTTCAAAAAATTCTATCTCAAAGGCCAAATTATAATCTCTATTTATAATCCTACTGTGGCAAGAACACAAACTATCTGATGGCAAGTGCCCAAGCTTTCCAACTAGCCTATTTACTCTTTCCTGATTACTGGCTCTTATGCTTAACTCTATCTCTGTTCAAATAAATACAACAAGAGATCCAAATCTGGGTGTAAGATCCATTTCGGTGTTGTTGAGAAATAAAACATTTTGGGTTACACAGGCCTATTTAGAATTTGGAGGCCACCTGTAGGCAATCTTACACAATACCTGCAAGGATGGGTGTGGTAAGCTACAAAGGACTCATTTATCACATTTCCCGTTTCATTCTGCTAAACCTCCTCCCCCCCCCCCGCCACCCCAGCAAGTGGCTAAAAGCCCACACTTCATAGCAGATATTCTATCGATCAATAAAGTGGCTGAAGCCAGTGAAAGGTTGTTTGCTATTATTCTGCAGAGCACGAGACAACCATACACTCACACCCTTAAGTAGTGGCATCCGCTGATATTAAAAAATGTGACAAGTCTATCGGGCTTGCTGCTCCGGCATAAGGCTAATGACAACTCTGCAAGATGTATCACTGCTCTGCCAGAGTAATTTCGCTGCACGGGGAACCACACCTTCCTAGCATGGCTGATTGCTCAGTGAATTAAAAGGGGGTTGGGGAGAAGGCACTAATGGCATTCGACTAAACTGTACTGCTAACTCCTTGCTTTCCCTCCCTAGCTGACATGATATAAATCAAAAGCCCCTGGAAGGGATATTTAGCGCTGCAAGAGGAGAGCATAGACAGATTGCAGCTTCTGTCCGTCCCCCCCCCCGAGCCTTTTCAAGCTGTCACCAAACCCTTTCCTTTTCAGATCAGCCTCTGTCCCTTGACAACATCTGCTTTGCCACTTTGTCAACGCTTTCTAAGTTGGGCAGGGACAATTGTTTGCCCCAAATGCAATCCATGAGCAGCAAAACAGTCTGGTGGCGCTTAGAGGGTGGTGCAAACATTGGCATCAAAGAGAAGCCGATACTAGCCTTCCAAACTGCTGCAATTCATCAACTTTGGACTAGAGGCCGAATCGGGTGCCATCTCCCTCTTGATGCCTTCATGGGTCATCTGGGCATACTGCAGAGAAATGATTACGTCTCCTACACCACAGATAGGTATAATAAAGGAAGCAGGAAAAGAAAAGGCAGTGACAATGAAAAGAGCAAGCTAAAAAGATAGGAAAATGTGATTGGGAAGGGCAAGACAAGTATCTACAAATGCATGCCCGGCTCAGCCACATACTTCTGGAAATGGAAAAACCTGCTTTGCTATCACTATCGTGCAAAATGAGGTGGAATAAATATTATTTTCCGGAGCAGCCAAAATGATTATCTGCCAGGAACAAGACATTGTCAAGTGATGTTTGAAACATCACATTCTCTTTCTATTCTCATTTCCCAGCTGAAAAATCCACTGATTTTCTTTGCCCTAAGAGTTCAACTTCCTCCGAAATAGAAATACGGAAGGTGGAAAAAAACAGAGGATGTTTTCTGGTCGATGGCACTGATATTTGCCTGCAGCAAAATGTCTTTCAATGGTGAATGAAGGGCTAAGGTACATACTGTGCTAACCAAATGAAAACGGGTCTCATATTGTTAATGATGGGAAGGTTACCTTACAGAGACAACATTCTTCCTATGCCTCAGGATGTCATTTCTATGAATATCATGTGTTTGGTTTTCATTGACAGACAAGCCTTTCTTCTGCTTAATCTTACTTGATTCAGAGTTGCTGACATTTCCTACACTCAAGTCTTCTCAGCTGCAATTTTCTAAACTCAGTCATCTCCATCCTTTCATTTCTCAGCTCAGCTCTTCTCCCCACACCCCACTAAATATATGGCTAACACCAGGGGCACCCCTAAAGCTTGGGAGCTGTCTTCCTTGAATTCTTCTTAACTGAATTGTTTCTCTCTTTGGTCAACCTCATTAAAGACCTAGAGAATGATTTATCTTTCCTTTACATCTTCTGAACAATTCCAAGAATGTTCCGTATATGGCCAGCACTAATGGGTGTGATTTTCTTTTTAACACTGATATATCCATTGCTGGCTCCTTTTTTTTTTTTTTACACCACCTATAAAACAGCAGCCATGACTAAATTATATAGTGTGTGAAAAAGTACTTGCACTGAATATTTCAGATTTGGCTAATACGTATTAAACTGCCTCGAGAGCACTTTAGAGTTTGTGCTGATCACGCAGAAAGTCAACCTTTTCCTTCATCTTAGACTGTGGAAAGCCAACATTTTGAAGGTGAAAAAACTGCACCCTCTCTTTATTGTTGTTCAGCAACTGATGCGCAACATAAGATTGCCTCAAATACTAAATGTAAGATCTAGGCCCAGTGACTCAGGTTTAAGATTCATTAATCCTCCGAGATCCTTTCAATATTTTATCTCAGTTTCAGTTATTCCGCGTAGCCATTTTAGGTAGTGAAAACAGAGACAGAATCATGAGAGTGCAAAATTTTTCAAATCTGAAATACCCCTGGGTGCAACAGAACTATTTTGAGTGTGTAACGTGCTACTTCAAAACATTTCCAATATGATCAAAGTAGTCCATCTCTCCCCTTGAAATAGCTATAGTGCATGCTCAATGTACATGTGTGTGTGTGTGTGCATGCGTACAGGCGCACACATGTGTTGAATTGACAGTGGGATATTTTGAAAGGAAGTTATCTGCTTGACTCTTCTTGGAAACATAGGACTAACCATTGTTAGACAGATATTATGGATTAGATGGATCTTGGGTGGAGGGAACACTACTCATTCATACTCATTCAAGTGTCTTCTTCTCTTTGTAATGTGGTCATTTTAGCTACTACTTCATGTAGCCTGTTTTCTAATGTTTCAGAAAGGAAGTTTGCCTAAACCTGCAAACTATGAAAGCTTTTAACTGCCAGTTCCAGAGCTTGAACCTCAAATGGATCCTGTTGATCCTGTTGGGGTTTCAGCATTTTGAACGTTCTTTGTGGAGATTCAGATTCTATTACGAGATACACACAACAATTTGGTATTTTTTAAAACTAAAATTGGTCAGCCACCATGGATTATCTTGCCTCCCAAATGTGAAGTTGGCCCCAATTCTCGTATCCTAAACACATGGCTCTGCCAGCTGGTTGGGGCCCCAAAGGGGGGAACAGTCAGAGATGGTATTAAGCAGGTTTTCACCAATTTTGGAGAACCAGTAGCAGAAATTTTGAGCAGTTTGGAGAACTGGCAAATACCACCTCTGACTGGCCCTGCCACCATCTATTCTCTGCCTCCTGAGTCCCAGCTGATCGGCGGGGTCTTCTTTTGTTGCCCTGCAGAGGAGAACGGAGCTGGAAAGCAGGTTAGTGGGGTGGGAAGGGAATGGGATTTTGCAGTATCCTTCCCCTGCCATGCCCACCAAGCCACACCCATGGAACTGGTATTAAAAAAGATGTGAATCCCACCACTGGGAACAGTACAACAGAGATGGCTGAATGCGTAACAACCGATCCCACTTCCCCCCACATTCCCCATGTGTTCTAAAGATTTTAATGTTTGGTTTTACTTTATGTTTTAATATATATGTACAGGAACATTTTTATGACTGTAAGCCGCCCAGAGTTACCCTATGGTAAAATGGGCGGCCAATAAATTTTATTAAAAAATAAAAAAATTATAACAGTCATGATTAACGCATGGGTTGTAACATAAATTATATACATGAGCCTTTTGGAACTTTGCTCTTTTAAGAGCAGGCTTGTGGGTTAGGAATTGGTGAAAGTTGTGAAATCTAACACATTGCCAACCCTGACACACATCAAGAGATCATCAGGTGGGCAAGACCATTAAAAAGCAGTGACTGGAAGTGCAGTGCTTTGGGATTTTTTTTTATTTTTTTTATTTTAAATAGCTTGCGGTATTACAATCCAAACAACCTGGTTGAGCTGCTGCTGCTGCTGATGTAAGAAATTCTATTATAATGCGTGATAGAAATAGCTTGTATTACAATACGCGTTCGTGCTGAACATAACATGATACTGTCAAAGTGCTGTACAAATTGTAACTAATTTAATAAACACAAATGGCTGAGGAGGTGACTTGAAAACAGCTTTCCTTACCCTTCCTAAAAAATTTGACAACAGAACCTAGAATATTATTGAAAAATATATATATCAGAAGGTGGTAAGGAGAAGGGAATTTGGGGTGAGATTATCTTGCAGTAGTAAAGTCCCCAAGTTTCTTATCATCCTGAAATGTGCTGAAACACTACTGTCATCAGCAGTAGTCCTATCTCTGCCGGATGAATTTTCACGGAAACTTAACGCTTAGGCAGGTAAAA